ACAGACACAAAACCGGGTCAGAACCTCCAGGGGGGGAAAAAGGTAAAACCGATTTACTTCAAAGTTAAAGCAAAAACTGGACTTAAGTATAGAAAAGAGAGACATATATGGGGATATGGAAATACAGAGATAGAACCTGGGAGTAGGAGGGGGTCATTTTTATGTTTAAAAAACAACAAGAACAACAACAAAAAAGGAGGCTACTGAGAAGAACCAGATTGGGGGAGGGGAGAGAATCAGTGAAGGAGGGATTGAACTGCTCACAAATACTACACACAGACACTCACACACGCACACACACACACACACACACACTCACAATGCCTTTCCTCTTTGAATGTCATTTTATCTAGTTCCCTCTCACCATCAAAGAGAGTGTCCATTCTGGATGTTAGTTCATATTTTAATTCTCTTCCCTCCCTTTTGTGAATTCTCAAGGAAAAATACTTTTTTTCATGGTAATGAGAAGTGGCTTTCCCACACAATTTCTTCAGTTATTCCACTGGAAATATAATGTTCGTGACACTTTCCCCAATATGCCTTACACTTTCCCCAATATGCCTTGCACTTTCCGATTCACTGTCAACTTCACCATCTCCCCGTTACATATATACCCCCCCCCACCACACACACACACACCTCTCCATTCAAACAAAATGACAGACATTGGTATCAGGTTTAAGTGTGTTTTGGAAAGAAGTTGCTGAGTTAAACAAAAATGTTAGTTAACAGACTGCCTTTGTTAAATAGCCCCCGGGTGGAGAAGACCCAACAGAAAGAGGGAAGGAGGAGGGGGGCTGAGGATCTGAAAGTGTCTGTGGTGATATAAAGAGTTCCTAACGCTGAAATCACTTGTAATACCTCGTTTCAAACTGAGCTCATCTATAGACCCCGGAAGCGCGGTCAAAAGACTGGGAACCTTTCCCCCTTGGGCAGGGGTTGGTCTGGGACTGGAAGACTTAAGGGAGAGGGAGGTGGGGTATTTATTAGAGACTTGGCCAGAGCAGGGCGGGGGAAGTGGGGAGTAGACAGCTAAAGCCTCCTCAACCGATGGGAAAGCCCAGAGTGTCCGCCGCAGAGATTTGGGGAATGAAATACGCCGAGGAAAAGTCTAGAAGTGGAAATTACCTTTTGTCTCCATGTTAATTACTCCTTGCTGCCAACACTCCACACCCAACCACCTGGTCGCCCTCTTGGGTGCTCCCCCAGCTCGGCACCCGGGGTCAGGATTCGGGTGCTCAGCCGGGGGCTGGGCTCGCCGGGGGCAGCCCTGGGGAAAGTGCAGAAGAGGGTCTGGGCAAAGTTCTGGGTGCGGCAGGCAAACCTCGGCTCGTTTCACTTTGGAATCAAAAGTGGCCCAGCGTTCTGTGAGGGCGGCGGCGGGTTCGCGCAGAGTTTAGGGACAGCAGGATGATGGGGGTGGGGTGGGGGTGCAGGGTCAAAGGTGGACGGCCAGGAGCCCGCAGGGACTCGAGCGGAGCAGCTGGGTTTCCCGGAGCCAGGGACCGAGGACGAGGGCGCCGGGGGCAGCGGCCCAGCCGGGTCGAGCCTGGCGGAACGCGCCCGCGCCCCGGAGCAGCCCGCCGGCTGGGCTCGAGCTCGCCCGCCTTGCCGCGCCCCTGCCCGCGGTGCCGCGCTCAGCACCTCCGGGCCCACCCCTCGCAGACCTGCGGCCGCGGCTCCCAGCTCCCCTCCGCGCGCTCCAAGGCCGAGCCCTGGAGGAAACTCTTGACTCTGTGCTAGTTCCTCTCTGCCCCTTCCCCTCAGCCCATTAACCCCCGACTCTCACCCCAGCCTGTCTTCTTAGGAAAAGGGTGAAAGAGGAGCAGGAAGAGATGATTCAAAAGAACACACACAGACACACACACACACACACACACACACACACACACACAGACACACACACGAAGGGGGAATACTTGCTAGCAGAAGAAATTGCAAAAGTGGGCGCCCCTCTTACAAATCCTTCTTCCTTTTGTTTTCTTAGAATTTAATAACTAGACCCCCAACACACACACACACACACACACACACACACACACACACACACCAGCTGTATTTTTCAAGAGAAGAAGGGATGTGGGCATAGAGGAGAAATAGCCACCAAATTTTTAAAAATGGTTTTCCTTATTTGACGTTTGGTGTTTTGACATTAATAGCATTAATATTATTGATGATGTTTTGGGGAGGGGGGAGGCAAAAGAAATAAAGGAGAACTTGAAAACGAAATGATCATCATTTCCCTATTCTTCCATGCCAGAAATAGACCCCTTTCTTCACCTGAGCCTGAAACAGACTTATTGTTCTCAGGTGTTTCCTTCATCATAGGCATTTACCCGTCTGAAATCTCAGGAAATGGTTTTTCCATCAGTGAGCTTGTACATGGAACCCTCTCCCGCGAAGGGCTTGATCTTTTCTGATTTGAACCTGAAAGTTTCCTTGCCTTCATTTCCCCTTAGCCTCTTTAAAAGCCCCCACCCTCTTCCCCATACAGGCACCTCAAATAGTTTTAAAGCCAGAATTTTTGCTCTCTGGGGTGTTTTTCGATAAACAGTAACGCTACATAAACACCTTCTTCACTTGTAAGTTGCAGGGAATTTAAATTTTACTCTCGTGGGTATGTATATTTCCTAAGGCACATGGATAAACCCCACTGAGGCGCAATCAGACACCCACTAGCAGACTCCTGAGAGAGTTGCCATATAAAGGTGGGGCTGTAAACAAAGTAACTCCGAAATTTTAGGAAGCCATCCACTCTGGGCAGATTTCTTCCCAAACAAGTTTGAAATGGAAGGAAGTCTTTAGAGAAGTAGATAGTTTTCTTTCTGTTAATGTTTAGTAGTCCTGGTTTCTAACACACTAGTACATGTACGGACTCTAGATTCCTAAGGTGGGAGTTTTTTTTTTTTTTTCCTCTCTCTTTCTTAATAAAGACCATATCTAGGGTTTATTCTCCAGTCCAAGCCTCTGCACTTTCATTGTAACCTTAACCAGCTGCTGTAGGCAACCAGCTTTCCTGATCTGGGCCTAAGTCTGCTCTTTTGACGCCTGTGCTTTTATCTTCCCAGGTGTTTTGTTTGGTTTTTTAATCCTATTTGCATCAGTCTTAGGATTTTCCAAATGTTCCCTGATAACACAAGGTTTCAGGCCCAGAAAGATGCATGTTTGTAGGCTCTGTTGTTCCTAGTGCTTGCGCAATAAACCTTTCAGTTGGTATTTCCTAGATTTGGTGCTTAAGGCCTAAGACAAGGTTTTGAAGCAGACCCTGGCCATCCAGAACTTCAAAGGCCTGTCAGCTCCAAAGGAGCTGATGCCTCACCTGTCCAGGAAGGGGCCATTGCAAGTATTTCCTGTTCTTTGCTTGTTTGATTTGTTACTCTCACCTTCTCTCTAGAATTCCTATTTTTGAAATATTGCATAGACGGTGTCTACTTGTAACCTGTGGTGTGGCGGTGTATCGAGATGCTATCTTGAGTAGCAATGGATATATATATAGAGAGATATATATTCCATATTCAGTAGGGGGTATTTAAAAGTGTGTCTATTCCTAGTTTTAGTTAATTATCTTTTAATGAAAGTGTCACTCATATTCACATCTGTAATATTGGAAGGAGATAATTAGATTTTCAAATGAGAATCAGCCACCTTAAATTTTGCACCAGAAAATACCAAGTATATTTCATTCTAATGAGATCTGTAGTGGGGTTTTAAAATTCATCATAATGTGCTTCAAGAAAGATAATTCAACATACTCACAAGATGAAAGGTTTTCTTCCTAAGTCTTTTTAAAGCTATTACATTGAACTTATGCAATTCTGATAAAATATTCAAAAATATTACATAAAGGCTAGCATCAAGACCCTCATGAACACCCTTGCAACCAGCACTTATCCTCATTTGAAAGTTTACTTTGACTAAACTAACCCCTTCCATCTTCCATGCCCTGGGTTTTCTGTCCTGCATCTTGCCAACGAAAGATAACGTGTTTAAATTGAGTGTCTACGGATCCTGGGTGCAATCCCGCCTTTTGAAACAGGCAGAGCAGAGCGGCGTTTGCACACAGCCAGGCACCCTTTATTTACATATATCTGCATATTTGCTCAGGATCCTGCATTTCGCCATTAAAGTGCTTTCCTGGATGTAGCAGAAGTAACTCAGCAAAGAAAATCTTTCCAGTGCCCTCACTCTCCTATTGCTGCTTAAAGCTCCCTAGTAAACACATCTCTGGTCCGATAATAATTACTTTCCCTCATTAAAATGAGAAAAAAAAAAATTTCTTTTTCCGAGTGGTTAAAGGGCACGGCTTGGGAGGTATTTGTGTTTTATTTTCTCCCCCTCCTTGCTGAGTGTGTGTGTGTGTGTGTGTGCGTGTGTGTGTGCGTGTGTCTAATGAAGTTTGGGAGTCGCGCGCACAGGGGCGCGTGGGGTGCGAGCCCCGGAGGTCCCCAGTCCCTGCCCTCTCCGTGGTCGCCGCGTCCCGGGCTCCCGCCGCAGCGCTCCGAGCTTCGGAAGCCGCGAGGCTCCGGGGCTGCTCCGAGTCCGGGCTGCGCGTCATTTGCAGTCTGGGGAATGTTGATCACCTCACTAATTACACCTCTCTCTCCCCCCCGCTCCCTCTCCCTCTCCCTCGCTCTCCTCTCTCATTCCCAGAGTGCATATCGGGAATAGACACACAAAGACATGCGCACTCAACTTAATCAGCCATTTTTTTTAAACAGGGCTAAAACGATAATAATTAGCAGAATAAAGACATATCGGATTTTCATTTCCTTTCCTCCTTTTCCCAACCCCTTCACAACCAAACAGCGAGACCGCGGTCGGCACATGCTTTAACTCCTCCCGGATCCCCGAGGACCGCTCCATGCCCCCCACTTTCTGCTCCAGCGTTTTGATTTTCACCCAATAAAGTTCGAGGATTATTTTTTTATTTTATTTTTTTTTTAATGAACCCTCTCGTTTTACTTGGATGTGATCAGCTGTAAGTAAAATAAAAGCAAAACAAAAAAGAGGCGAAGATCGAGTAGGAACTGCAGGGGAAATGGAAAGTAAGTTTTTTCTTTAACTTTTATTGAGTAGTTTGTGTTAAATTTAGGTCGAGTATCGATTATCTTTCCAGCCTGATCTTGCACAATCTTTGATATTTCGCTCCCTCTCTCTCCCTCTCCGCCTCTCTCCCTCTCTGCCCCCGGCTCGCTCGCTCTCGCTCGCTCTCGCTCACATCCCCTCAGCCCGACCATCTCTTCCGCTCTGCCCCCCTTTGCTATCTCTTTCCCCCCTTTTTTTTTGGCTCCAGGATTTGCTCTGCGGAGGGAGGGAGGGGGCACTGAAGGATCTGATTTTCCACTTTCTTGCGGGGGGGTGGGGAGATGCGTTTTTCGGGATTTAACTTTTGGATTAAGTGGCGGATCATCCACGTTTGGCCGAGCAGTTTTCTCTCCTTTTGCCTGTCTTTTCGGGTTCTGTCTCCACCGCGAGCCCGGGGCTTTCTCGAGGCGCGGGGAAGCTGTCAGCTCCGCGGCCCCGCGGACACTGCCTGGGGCGGGGGTGGGGGGGGCGCACCCCCGCGCCCGGGTCGGCACCCCCGCGCCCAGGTCGGCATGTCCCCTTCCTTCGCACCCCTCCTCCGAAAGTTTGGAAGGTGGTCGGTGGGGGCTCGGAACCCCTCTCTCCCTGTTCCCCTACCCTCCCGTTCAGCCTCGATTTTCTCCTCCTCTCGTCATCCACCGTTCCCTGGCTCAAGTTCCGCGAAGGGCGCTCGGTGCGCGGAGGCCGGGTGCTCCGTGCGCCCCAGAGCAGGGGGTTCCGAGTGGCTGGGGCGCGTGCCGGGGCTGCAGGTAGACGCCGGCCCGCCTGAGCGCGAGGCGGCGCGGACTCGGGCGCGGGAGGACGCCGGGCAGTTCCGTTAGGAGGCAGGATCGCCGGGCCTCGGGGCCGGGGACCCGCGAGGCGGCCGCAGCTCTCTCCCGGCGCTTTCGCCGCCGGGTGTGCCTTAAACCGGAGGACAGCTGCCCGAGGCCGGGGGTCAAGAATCTGGTTTTTTTTTGGCAAAGGGCAAAGGGTGTGTGTGTGTGTGTGTGTGTGTGTGTGTGTTTATGGTTGGGAGAGCTGTGGCCGGTTGTGAGAACTGATTTATTCCCCAGTACCCCCGCCCCTCACGTCCCCCGAAAGGGGTTCCTGGTCTACAAACGAACTTAACCTTCTTCGCCTCTCCGGGCATCAAGTGCGCCTTCCGGCCCGGAGCAGCTAAGGGAAGAGGGGCTGGAATGCGTCGGGTCTCGCCTTCCTTCTACTTCTATCTCCTTCCCCCCTCCCTCCCAGGCTTTCTGCTCTTTTCGATCGGAAAAATAATAATAATAAAATTTCTCCTGGAATTGGATAAAGTTTCTCTGCCGATGCCCAAGTTCCAGAGGAATCCCCACCCTGTCCCCCTCCCCCCTCCGCCACCCCCACCCCAGCCCGGAGGACCGTGCACTGGTTTGTATTTCTTTTGTTACCTGCGATCCGGGCGGGGGGCTCCTTTCGGCCGCTCGGGCTGGGGTCCGGCCCAGAGCGGAGGCTCGGGCTGGCGCCTTTGGCCGCGACTCCTCGCTCCCGCGCGGTTGTGGTGAGGTCTTAGCTACCGTTCGGTGAGACACCCTCCTTGTAGGTACCAGAGGTTCAGATCGCGAACACGGATTCCGCCCCCCCCAACACACCCCGACCCCTGCACACACACACACACAGACACACACACTCACACTCAACACACACTCACAGACACACACATTCTCCCTACTCCCCCCCACCTCCAGCCCCCACCTCGCCTTTCCCCTCCCCCCTTCCAAAAAAAGCACACACACACAACAACAACAGCCCCCCCAAACCAAACAAAAACCCAAAGACAAGTTCACTGGCGGAAGATGGTGGATTGACACTGACTCAGTCAGAGGCAGGTTCACCAGGAAATCTGGCGGTCCCGATTTCTGACAGTTGCATTTCCTCTCCTTGAGTCCTCCCCCCCCCCCTTTTTTTTTTATTAACTCTGTTCCATGTTTAATCAAGGATCATGTAGATGGCAAAAGGAGAGACAGAGAGAGGGGAGAGAGGAAGAGAGAGGAGAGAGAGACAAGAGACAGAAGGAGGGCTTTTTTTTTTTTTTTTATTGTGTTCTCCTGGATTTTCAGTGGCTTGATCCCTATAAACGTGGAGTGGTTAAAGCTCATATGTAGTATTATATTTTTAGTTGGGTGGATGGATGGAAGAGTCAGGGAGAGGCTGCGGCTGCCGCTGCCTTTTCGGGTGTTGCTTAGATTAAGGCTGAGACTTGGCTGCGATTGGGACGCGACAGTGACACGGGCATCGATCGCTTCCATTGAGAGCAATGCAAAAACACAGCCCGGGTATGTAACACTCTCGGTGCCATCAACACTTGTTTTACTTTATATTTACTGGCAAAACTGACAGAGCAAGCTCAGACTTTCTCTCTTTCTTTCTTTTTTTCCCCCTCTTTTCTCTTTTCTAACTGAAGAATACAAACAATTGGGTCTAGAAGTTGTTGGAAAGGATGCTTTAAATACAACAGAAAGGAGAGATTGGGATTATTTCACTATCTCTATGACTGATTGTGTTTTAGAGTTTTTCTTCTCCACAGAGGAGCATATTAAATAAAAGGAAGGTTTTCTTTTTTCCTTCCTCTTCTTAAAAAAAAAACAAATCCTTAAGGGAATATTTGATAGTTTTCAACGTTTGCGGTTTCAATCAGCAGGAAGGCACACAAAAATAAAAGATGGCTAGCCAGCTGTTTTAACCTCTTGCACCTGGCTTCAGTGTGGGGATCATAAGGTTTATACAAGTTAGTGTTTTTTTTTAAGATTCTAATATTTATGGCATAAACTGGGAAGAGAGTATCACTGTGTATTTATTCAGTAGCTGGTTGCTTTTGGATTTAAAAAGTAAACTCATATTTAAGTGTTTTCTTTTTTATGGCAATGAAGATAGAGTCAATGAAATATGGGGGAAATACCATAAATCTGAAAAGTGAAATGTACCTAAGGAACAAAGAAAGGTCAGGTAAACCAGCTGTGTAAGTCAAAGCAATAGCACCAGTTGTAGGGTAAACAGGGAGAGTGGACTCTAGGTCTAGGAAGTGAAAGTTGCCACTTAAAGTTAAAAATGAAGGAAGCATGTTCAGCTTTATTGTAATCTTTTGCAGTTTTTAGCAGATGAGTCCAGATCTGCTCATTAATTTTGAGCTAGTTGGATTATTTTAAAAGATGCTGCACCAGCAAAGGAAAACATAAAGGAGGTTGAGAAAATCGCTGTTTAATATTGCAGAATTTACTGCTTCCATTCTGACCATGAGCCTAAATTTACACAATGAAATTTGATTATCTCTAATAACAATATTAGATCCTGCACTGGATGGATGAGAATTGAGGTGGTTTTGTTGATTGCAAGGGTTTAATGTTGCATTTCAGAATCTGATGTGGTTTGGCCTCCCTTCCATTAACTGGAAAACCCCTGAGGTTTTACAATTATTTCTTAAAGATAATACATTTAAGATTGCATTGGTAGGCTGAAGAAAAGTCATAAAGGCAAGAAGGGAAGCCCTTAATAACTCTTGAGATTCAGACATGTTCAGCAGTTAGATTGGCTCTGACTTCACCAAGGGTCGACAATGTGTCATTTCCACGAAGCCAAATTGCCCTCTGCCTATATGATATTAATGTGCAAATCAATATTTCAGGGATTAAATTTCCCTTCTTCATTTTTTATGGTTTCTACCTCAATAAGTCTCAAGTCTATTAGAAGAGGCTGGATGATTTAAAATCTTTCACTGCAGAATGGCTTGTCCTCGTAGTCTTGTTTCACTAGACCATTTTAGGAATTTTGTTATAAAGACTAAGGGCATCCTAAAGAAGTTGCAAGGCAATGTAGAGGCAAGCTCCATAGCCTAAAGTCCTTGTTCGATTAAGAGCTAAGAAGTATTGGAAATATAATATATATGTTTATGTACTATATGTGTATATGCACACATACATTCTGCTGCTTTAAAAATATTATGTTAATCACCTATTGATTAATTTCAAAATCAATTGAAGTTCCTTTCTTATTAGTGACTTGTTCAGCGTTCTTGAAGACTGTGTTAATTTTCTTAAGGAGTATACATGGATTAGCTTGGTTGTGAAGGTCTTTGGGAGGGATTTTCATCTAGCAATGTTTTCTCTAAGAAATATTTCTAGAAACCATTGTTGTGAGAGTAATAACCAAGTATTGTCATCTGCATCGTTGTCATGACTATCATTGCATTTGGGGCTGAGTGATTTAGCTGCTATCTGTTGAAAGAGGCCTTCTTCCATTCACTTAATATTAGTTCCTAACACTTAGTAGGCACGATGTTTCTTTTAACCCTCTTGGAGAAGCACTAGTGTAAAAGAAAATATGTGATTTGACGAGAAATAATACAAAGCAGAAATTTGGGAGGTCAGAATAAAAGATTGTGACTTTATCACATAATCTTGGGAAGGCCTACTGTCTATCATTTGGTGGTATTTTATAGTCTAAAACCATCTGGACCAAGTTCCGCACAGCTGCACGAATTTCATATGTGATAGAACATTTTTTCCATTCAGTGTGAAATGTTCCTTCCTAAAACACGTACACCAGACTCACTTAATTTAGTCTGTTAAAAGAAATGCACATGAAAAAGGACAAAAGGCTCTTTAATCTCTGCAAGCTGTTTGTTTTTCTTCAAGATTCCTGTCTGTTTGGGTTTGAAAAGTCATGTTTATTGAGGAGATGATTCTGAGGTGTGACATTAAAATAATATATGATTTTTGGACTGGTGGCCACGCTCCTGCTTCATTTGCAGAACTACTTTTTATGCCTGTCAAAACACAGAGTTAATCTATCCTTATTTACAATTAATCTCAATAAAATTAATCTTAACTATGCTTTATTCAGTGGCTTAAAATATCTAATTATATTCAATTAACTGCTGTCATAGTAATTAACATTGCTTAATTGCCTCTGCATATATTTATGTAAAGCTCATTAGGTGCTGCTG